GAAAAATTAAATTTGAAAAATTAAATCAAAAAAAATTTTTTTTTTTTTTGTTTAAATTTATTCGCGCCATCCTTTGGAAGAATAGAGAGAGAGGGATAAAGAGAGTGAGAGAGGGGAAAAAAAGAAAGGGGGAGAGAATAGATAAGATGTATTATTTGATAAAAACTGTGATCGGAATGTAGCAATTACTAATGAAATATACCAGTAGATTTTTTTTTTTGTTAAATTCTTTCTGTGCTCTAAAAGGCAAAAAAAGAATGCGATCGATCTGATCAAAATACCGATATATACGTATCACATATACGTATTACATATACGTATCATATACGTATTATATGACTTAAATATACGTGTAATACGTGTTGCAAATGCATGTAAGAGTATCAAATATGTTACAAAATATGATGTTATATCATCCCAGAAATTATCAAAAAAATCAAACAAAATATTGAAAAAAAATACTTTAGTTGGTGATGTTGGAACTGAATTCTTATTAACGATAGTAACCGAACAATGTTTATCATCATTCGAGCATTGTAACTTTTCCGGACTAACAACCTGAACAGGTGGTTTACGAATTTCACGCATTGCTATTTTTTGTAATGCATCACGTCGCGAAACGCTTAGACGTCGCATATCATCAATACGTTCTGCAACCTATAATTTGAATTATTTTCTGTAAAATTTCAACAATACAGCGTAATTAATAGAAGACATTGTATGCTATAAATCAGTTAAATTTATGAAAATTATCGAATATTATAATCGATAATTTTGATAAATACAATGGGTTCGTTGTTAATCAAAAATTTTTCTAATTAATAGTTGTAAAATCTTTTAGGAATTCAATAAAAGGAAGTAAAATATTCTAACAGAAGCAAACTTAATTCTCTTCTCCTCTTCCAAGCTATTTGATTTAAAAAAAAATAAAAAAAATACAGAGCCACCTTCTTTTTCCATTTTTTCCTTTTTTGTTTTTAATGCGAAAACTTTATGAAATTGTTTCGTCTCACTCCTTTTTTCTCATATATTTATCCATTACTTTTTTTTTGAATTTATATTTTTTCTTATACTTTTTTATTCTTATAATTTATACTACGATTTATAAAACTGCTTTAATTTGTTTGTTTGTTGTTTTTTACTGATTATCCCATCAACTACTCCGTTAATTATCCTATTAATTACACAATTTTTAGCAATTTAAAAATTTGCTAATTAAAAAATTTTGCATTATTTTTGCATTCTATATTATTTATAGTACGTACATTTCATGCTATTTGATTTATATAATGAATTGAATAGCATAAAATATATATTTGATTAAATAGTAAAAATTACATCCAATTTAATTTGTTTATCATTTTCTTTCATTCTAACTTATTATCTCATCCCAATTGGTAATATGGAATAAAAAAATGTAATGCTTAATTAATTTCGTCTATTAATGGAATTTTTGCTCTCATTTTTTATCATTTTTCTTCTAAAATGAAAATTAACTTACAATCAGAAATAAGAGAAATGATATTATATATGTGTGTGAAATTTGATGTAATAAATTAATAATAACATCTATAAAGAAAAACAAAAAACGGAATATTTTACAAAAATGACTAAAATTCATAAATAAGTCATCAGGAAAAATTTATTTAAATAAAAAACTTTTTGACAAGATTTATGCAAAAACTAGTTCAATTAATATAAAAATGATCCTGAGATATATTACAATTTATTCATGTATTTATAAATTTTAAATTCGTTTACAGATTTTTTTCTCTTAATTTGTTAAAATTGAATGGAGGTACCTGTGTAAGTAATGTTGATGTTTCAGTCGTAGTAAGCATTATCAATTTGTTTAAATCTGGTTCATTATTAAAAGTATCCAACTGAAAATATATTTAATTGTAATTATGATAATGACACAGTAAGCCCCGTTGAAGATACTGTAAGAAGTTCCTACGATATTATAATAAGATACTCCAATAGACCACTCTAAAGTACTCTAATTATGTTAAAGCACACTAAAACAACTAGCCATACAATCGTAAACGATTATTAGACGATACTGTAATAAGCGTATCCTTTGCTATATCTAATTCCATCATGAATACAATAAGTTTCGTCATAAATGCAGTAAGTTTTGCGGTCCTACAGTAAATTACCTCATCCAGTAAGTTCTGTTTGCGATACTATATAAATTTCCTACGATATTATAATATGCATTTACGATACTACAGTCAGTTTCATTATGAAAACAGCAAGCTCCGTTTATGACACTGCAATTAGTCCCAGCAGGAATACAGTAAACTTCCTTTACCATACTACAGCATATTCTGCTAAGCTAACATTGTTTTACCATAACACTTATTTTTTACGATATCATAATAAGCCACAATATTTTAAGAAATAATAGTGAAATATTTGAAAGAATAAAATGAAATTGATTATTCTGCTTAATTCAGTTATATCATTCTATTATAAATTATCATAACTAGCTTAATTTATCTTATCTATTAGTTATTCAAATATCATTTATCAGTACTTTTGCATAACTAAATGAATGAAATGTTAGAAAGGGTTTTGCTTAAATTATCTTATCAGTTAGTTATATCACCCTATCACAAATCATTTCAACCTTCAATGATTCGCCTTCTTCAATATATTTGTCCACTGTTGTTAATGCATTGGCAGCATTACTCGCTGTACAATCATATGGTATTGTTGTCAACAGTTCAACACCACGATGACACCAATTATTTGCCTAAAACTTTATAAAAGATATATTTGATATTATTTAAATCAATTTTAAATTATATTATTTAAAATTTTATTATTATTTTAATTATATTATTCGAAATTTTTTTAAATTATATTATTTAAATTGTATTATTAAAATAGCTTAATTACTGAGAAATAATTTAATAAAGTACGATAGAAAAGACAATTATTAAATGCATTATTTGCATGTAAAATTTTGCATAAATATAAATAATTAAGTAATTTTAAATTTTTGAAATAAAACACTTTGAAATTTTAGAAATATCAATTCATAGAATTAATTTTCTATTTTTTCATTTTTTTTACTTGAAAATATATGAAAAAGCGCAAAAAAAAAGCAAAATTTTATTGATAATATTTCTAAAAAGAAATTCAATAAATGGTATAATTAAACGAAATAAAAATTATTTGATATTTCTAATACAAGCTTTACTTTAGAAAATTATTCAGACATTAAAGTTTATTAAAAATAAATACAACTGGACGATGGAAAGGAGCTCTTGAAAAGTGGTCATTGGTGGATACTTGAGAAGACAAAGTGAAGAAGGATTTAAAGCTTGTTGAAAAGAGATGTATGCTTAAAACAGATGGCTTCTTAACATCCCTTAGATAATTTAGAATCATTTGAAAAATTCATAATAGGAAATATAATGCTTTTTAACATTTTTGAGATGTAAAGGATTGATGTTTACACGTTTATACGCTTATCTATGAATGTTTTTAACATGTCTGAGATTCTAAGGGTCAACGTTATACACGTCTATCTACAGATTGATTACGTATTCGTATGAAGCTTAAAAATGAATATCACTGAACGGATGACATGTGATATATTACAAGTAAGACAGGAATATCCTCAGAAATCATCGGAATATTAATCTTTGCTTCATTTTGTAATTAACATAATGAATTTTTATAAATCAATTAAACTCTATTGTATCTTTCCTCCCCTTTTTCCATCCATTCTTGTGATTTAATTCAAATCAATGAAACTTTCTTATCAATGAAATTGTTAAATGAAACTTTCTAATTATATTTTTACTTCTTATACTTCCCTATCTTCTGTTAATTATTTGATCATAAAATTTGAAGATTCATTAAAAACACAATTCGCTTAAGAATTATCCATGTATTAATGTAGTTTTTATTGGATATTAAGTGATAAAATCTGCGATTTTTCAATTAACAGGTAACAATTTCAAATAATTTGTCTGTCACTTAAGAAATGTCCACCTCAATTACTAACGTCTAACTTAATTACTAGTGAAAAAATACATGGATGATATAATTAAAAATGTAAATTTGCAAAAAATTTACATACAAAATATTCAAATGACTTAAAGAGTAAAATAATCTTAATTAAGCTAACCTCATGTATTTGTTGATGCATATCCTTGCTTAATTGCAATACTTTAGCACGTCGTTCAAGTGCGCCGCTTAATGCATCAGCCATACGATCAAGTTCATCACACTTTGGTAACAAACTTGCTGTTAATTCAACATCTTGTGATGAGATTAATTCTTGTCCTTCATCACGTAATAAGCGTGCGTTATTTACGTCTTCCTGAAATTCAGAATGCTAATAATAATAACAATAAATAATAGTAATAATAATAATAATAATAGTAGTAGTAATAATAATAATAATAATAATAATAATAATAATAATAATAATAATAATAATAATAATAATAATAATAATAGTAATAATAACATATCAATAATGAAAACAAAATAGAACAAAAAAAAGTACTCTTTTTATACAAAAGGATTGTTTTATTAAAATTCATTTAAACGATATCTGTTAAAAGAAAGTAAGAAGTGACTTAAAATTGAAATTCATAATGTTAATGAATAAATTATCAATAGCAAATAATCAATAAATATTGCTTAATGAATATGCAATTTAAAGAATGATTGGTATAAATATTATGCTTGTAAAAGAACAGAATGATATTAATATAGTGATAAGACATAACGATATAATGTTAATACTAAAATAACAATCATAAGTTTATAATGAATAAGAAAAAATTGAACAGTGATAAAAGGAGGGGAAGATAGATTGAAACTATAATGTTTGTAATTCCATTTTTGAAATTATTTCTTATACTTCCTTTTTTATTTCTTACTTCTTAAATAGTATTCCCACTCAATTTTTACCAAATATATTTATAATCTTAACTTTTGGTATACTTCATAATGATATAATTGATCATACAATAATTATAGTATGGTAAACAAAGATTACTGTACATACCATAGCTTGTTGACAGTATTCAGCATGTGCTTTTGCTAATTGTTCAGCTTTTTTCGGCCCATCACCAACTTCTCGATGTTCTTCCAAGTGAATCATATGTTTTGCAAATGCTGATTGCAGCTGCAATAATAATTATAGTTGTAATATAGTTCTAGCAAGTTTTACTATAAACATCAATATGAGCTTCGTTTATTTTTTTCAACTATCTATTTTTTTTCTTTTTCTATTAATATTAAGGATTATTGAATGAAAATTCTGACCATCCTCTCTTTCTCTCACAATAACCTTTGACCCCCGAGGAATAATTTTTAATGGTTGTAAAAACAAAACAGGGCATTCTTCTATAGGTACTATAAAAAATAATTTAAATAATATTGCTAAATTTGGTAAAATTTTATTAAAAGATATATTGGCATTAAAAAGAATTTAAATGGATGACTGAAAAAAAAATGAATCGATTAAATGATTGGATGTATTTCCTCAATAATTTGATTAGATATATTTTCTTCATCTTTATTAGATTGAAGAAGAAAATAAAATTTTTCTCTGAGTTAAAAAGAAAAATATCACCAATTTGTCTCAGATGATTTATCAATTTATTCCAAGATATATATTATTGATTATTTTACAAATTTATAAACAGTAAATTTTATTAAACTGTATAAGAGTTATCAAAAAATATGAGAATAAAAGCACTAATAAAAGTAATCAGTTTGATAATGATAAGATATTATAGTTTGAAATGAAATGATATAATAATAAGTGATATTAAATTATAAAAATATTTGAAGAGTAAAACTACGATAAGATTATTTAAAAGAATATGAATAAATAGAAAGGGAATGAAATTAAAAGACGAAGAAGACGACGAAGTGGACAGAAGAAGGGTCACATTATTATCCCTTCTTTCATCTATTTCTATCGATAGCCATCAAACTAATAAAAGCAATTTGTGTTTTATAGTTCAGAAACTTCCATTCATTTCCTATTAGCCACTTATCATTTTCAATTCATCGGTTACTTAAGCATTTTCATTTAGCTATCAGAAAATGAATTCATCGATTCTTTCCATACATTCAAAAAAAAAAGGAGGAGAGATATGTTTTCTTATATATGTTATTTTAAGAAAAATTTTTTATATTAATGCTTTCTTCGAATAATAGAATGTATAGTTTTTTCTAATGATTATTAGAAAAAAATTTCTTTTTTATTAAAAAAAAAAGAATTTTAATAAGAATCGATGCATTCCTGAGATGATGCACTTCAGATTCCTTTAGCGATGGAGATTCCGAAACAAATTAATGCATTCCTGAGATGATAAATTTTAGATCCCTTTTATTGAGGAAGATTCTGCAAAGAATCGATGCACATTTAAAGAAATATTTCAGATTCTTCATATGTATTCAAAATTTGACTGATAATCTTTGAAAATAAATTCCATTAATATCCAAATAATCAGAAGATAAAATACTCAGAGATGAGCAAAGGTCATCTAGCGAAGTTAAAGAATGCAAAGGTGAATTCAAAAAAATGTTTTCAAAAAAAAAGAGAAAGATGGAGTTAACTATTTAAACAAAAATAGAGAAAAATTATAATTAATTGTATAATAATAATAAAAATAATGTTGACCTCTAATATCCTCTAGAACTATATTCATTGAACTTTTTTTGGACATCGAAAATACAATTATTGAAATTAAGAGGTTATCACAAAAAAGAAACGTGTTAGAATGCGATTTAATGTTTAGAGTCGATAAATCAATGATCAATGGATAATTGAAATGATAATGAAAAGTGAAATTTTCGATCATCCTTTATATTGCTAAGGATATTTGCTTAGTTATTAACTAATTAATTAACTTTTCGTAGATGACATAATGTATAAAAATTAATCTTAACATATAGCACTGCAATTACAACCTTTGAACTATTTTTTTGAATTTTTCGTATTCTATGGAATAACTAAAGATAATGAGCAAGGTTGATGAGATGGAATTGAAGAAGAATCCAGCATAAAATATTTTGCTATAGATATATTTGTTTAAAAGACAGAAGTGACATTTCTAGGTGATCAGTAAAGGACAGAATAAGATTGTTCTAATAGATTGGCTAATCAATTGATAGACTGATGATGAAAATATAAGAAAGAGTTTTAGAAATGTAGCATAAAAGTTATTAAAGAGTATGATAAGATCAAAGAGTGAAAGATTCAAATGATTATTATCAGTGCTTATAGCGTAGAGATTTTGACCGTTCACAATTGATATTGGAAGAAGAAAGGATATGGTTGATTTTATGCTTTATTGCAAAATATATTTTATTAATGATTTACGAAAATTAATCCCTCTCTTATTAGTCATATATGTAAATCTTTTAGTTTCCTGAATGCAAACTTTCCTCAATCCTGAATCTTTTAGTTTCCTGAAAAATTTTCACGATATATGAATTTTGACGGCATGTGATTATTTCGAAAGTTTTTTTTCCAATACGGTGGTATTAAAGGTATTTCCGGATTCTCCACTACAACTTTAAATCCGGTAATATTGATAATTTATTTCTTTATTGAATACTGAAAGTTATTTCTTCATTCTCGGCTACAGCTTTCAATTCAGCCTTTCAATTTAAGCATTATTTCGTCATTTCCGATCGTAACTTTAAATCTGACAATATTTAAAAATATAAGAGAGAGAGGGAGAAGCAGAGAGAGAGAGAGAGAAAGGATATTACAAGTAAATAATGAATTAAAGTAAACAAATTAGCTTACCTTCCTAAATGAATCTTCAAATCGTCGAAGATTCAAGCATTGTGTGAGACGTTTCTCGTGTTTCATCCAAAATGTATCGAAACTTCGTTCCGTTTCTTCCAATTGTACAAGCATTCTTTCGATTGCTGTCACATTGTGAAGTCTCCAAAAAACAACCAGTAATTGTCAAAATGAATCATCAACTATATCAACAACTGAATTATAATGTAGTAATTAATTAAGTAAGATTATAATGTAGCAATTAATTAAGTAAGATTGTAATGTAGTAATTAATTAAGCAAAATTATAATATAGTAATTAATTAAGTAAAATTATAATGTAGTAATTAAACAGGTTGACATGCTTAACAATGCTGATTTACATTGTCATGTCTATAAGATGAATATATGTATATTCAAACCAATTTTTTGTCCTGACGAGTGTTACAAAAAGCGCTTGCGAATGAATTCTATATGTGTGTGTGTATGTGTGTGTACATGTGTGTATGTGTATGTGTGTGTATGTGTGTGTATGTGTGTATGTGTGTGTACTAATTCTATTCATCTGGACGTTAATGAATTAATTCGTTTTCATTGATAGCTTTAAATTAGTTCAGTAAAAACAAGCTATTAGCATTTTCATTCCAAAATTTTGCATTAAATTTTACCAATTTCAAATAAAATAAATTTTGTAAAAATGAAAAAAAAGAGAAATGAATTTTGTAAAAATGAAAAAAAGAGAGA